AAAATATATATATATATATATATATATATATATATATATATATATATATATATATATATATATATATATATATATATATATATATATATATATTTTTTTTTTTTATTATTATTATTATTTATGCTTTCTTTTTATTAAAATTGTAATAAAATTTTTGGACTTATTTTACATTCTTTTGTTCGATTAGTTGCAGTTTTTCCTTGGTCCTTGGACAACATATTATACATAAATTATATTTTATATTTTGTAATTTTATACAAATTAACATGTGCTCACATAAATTTGTATAGAAATTGATGTGGCAACAATTATTTATATTTCATATAATAATGCATTCAATTAGATAAATTTTATTTCAACAATTTTATATGTTTTGCTTTTCTTGATTTTTCCTGTTTCATCAAATTGTATTTAAAAATTTTTCTCAAACATAAAATTTAGGTGTGCAAATTTTTGAACTAATCTTAAGTTTGTTTGATGAGTTCCAGTTTTTCTTTGGTACTGACTTATCTACATAATTTATTTACATAAAAACACTTAATATTTTATATATTTATATTCAACTGTTATATAAATATTGTTACATTTTGTAATTTTATTCTAAATAAAATTTGGTCACATACATTTCTATAGAAATTGATGTGCATTCTTTTATACAACAATCATTTATAATTTGTATAATAATGCATAAAAATGGATACATTTTGTTTCAACAAAATGTGATCTTTTTTATGTTTTCTATTGGTTTTTCTTGTTTATTGAAATTGGATTTTACATTTTTTTCCAAACATATTAATTTGGGTGTGCTAATTTTGGACTGACCTTCAGGTTAACTTCTGTTAGATTAGATCCAGTTTTTCTTTTGTACTGACTAATCTATGTAAATTATTTATATAAAAAACAATTAATGTTTTATTTATTATTATTGTTATATGAATATTTTTTATATTTTGGTCAAATTAAATTAAATTAAAAATTTTATAGAAATGCATAAAATGTAATAATTTGTTAGAAACTCGCACATAAATATAACTACATAAAAAATAAATAATAATAATAATAATAATGTAATATAAAAAGCTGAATACATATAGAACCAAATAAGATGTATTTTCTGTTTTTATGCAAATTTGTTTTGTTAAAAAAAAAATGGCTGTCAAATTTCAATATTTATAAGCCACAGCTCTTACTTTTATCATTATACAAGACTCCCAGCCATAAATTCTGAGGGCCCTGGTAGTAATGCCACATCTCTTTAAGGAAGAAGCGGCTCTCCTCATCATCCTGAATGGTCAGAAGCTCAGAAGAATTTCCTGAGAAAAAAAAACATCTTGCAAAATCACTCAAACCCAACCACAAATAATAAAAGCCACCAGCAGGTGAAGCTCTTGAGCCAAAACGTTTTTAAAGGCCCGTACCATTTGCTTTACAGTGATTTCTGGCTTCTTCTTGTGTCTTCTTTGATATCACGGTTTTAAAATAATAGCAGCTCCCGCGAAACTTCACCCAGGTATCAGGACACACCACTTCAAAGGAGAAAGCAATGCTCTCTGTTGGTAAGCAAACAACCATATCAGTTAGTTTGATAGCTAAGAGTCTCCCCCTGTATGCATATCAGCCAATAACAGTTTACTTACCACATCTTAACCTTTTAGCACTACAGAGTAACATTGGAAACACTGAAACTATTATTGGTTTGTTGGCGCTTATGTTATAAAAAAATGGCTAGTTCCTTTTCCTAAACTCAAACAAGACATCCAGAACCCTCAAAACTAATTACTTTGCTGCCTGTTTAAATTACTTATTAAGTAACAACACAAGTCTTGACATTTTTTGGGGACAACTTAATTGTTTTATGTTCAATTAAGTTAAGATAACAAACTTAAGTGAATTGATTTTTGTTAGGACAAAATGAGGGAATTGTTAGGAATTCAGCATTTTTCACAGTGTACACTGTAAACAATTCAGGGTTCCACACAACCAATTTGAAAGGAACAACTTGAAGGAATTAAGTTTTACAAATTTAAGTGGATTGAACGTAAAACAATTTAAGTTGTCCCAAAAAAGAATTGTGTTGTTTCAGCAAATTTTATATAAGTAGTTTGAACAAACAGAAAACCTCATTTTTTTGTGAAGATCAACAAAGATGTATACACATACACACATTCTACGGTAATTAGAAGACAATGCTTTCAACTCTGCTAATGTTACCGAAAGTTATTAAACTGCAATTGTTAAGCGCTGTAGTTTAAAGATCAGATAAGTAGCACTAATATTAGCTAACTCACACATATCAGCGCCTTTCCATATTAAAACTAAAGTCATTAAAATCGTTCCCATATATACACTGAAATAAATGCAGGGTTCCACACAATTCCATCATGTTATCTCAACACAAACAGATTAAGTCAGCTTAAAGGTGCACTTTGTGATTGTCTTCAGAAACATTTTTTGTTATGCTGGTTAAAAGTCTCTTTACATTCTGAGAGTAATGATTAAAGTAAACGATCTTATCTGATGTATATGTATTTTTTATAGGTGGAGATATTTTTTATTTCATTTTCTAGATTAATCTAGATTTATCTCAGATATATCAAGATTAATCTAAATTAAAATGGCTCATTTGAATTCTGCTGAAGGCATTCAGAATATGTGTGCTACCCAAATAATAATTCTTTGAGAACGGGTTTCTCAAGCCAGGTGGCGCATGAGACCAGGGGCTCATCTCCTTTTTCCAAAATGCATCACAAACTGCTTGAGAAACTGTTCTACTATGATAATTGGTGATGAAAATTAATGATGTTCAATAAGATGTACTTGTTTTTACTAACAGTTTATTCAGTTAAACATAAATGTTGAACTGTAGGTCTACATAAGCTTAAAACAGCGATTTTTGATTACCTTAATCTGACTAAAGTCATAACTGAACTATACAGAAATTTAACTAAGACATGTGGAGTATACATATATTAGTGGCATTATTGAAGTAAACACTGCGATCAGTAAACACCGTCATGTAGGACTTTTCGCCATATTTTCTGACAAGATCCACACAAGAAGATGTCAGTAAAGCCTAGTTCACACTACAGCATTTTAAGCCTAATTTGAGCCCGATTTGGAAGTTAACAAGCTTGCCAACAGATCTGGCTGTGATCGGGAAGAAATCTGCGGGTGCACGGCGATCGCCAGTCTTTATGTGTGAACTACTGAACAACGCATCTACGAGGCTCGCTAACACGTTGCCAACACCTTGCAGACGGAAATCCAATATTTAGCATGCTGAATATTCCAGAACAGTCGGCCGACTCGACCCCACATGTGGTCAGATGTAGTGACGAGCTGCAGCCAATGAGAGAGCATATCAGCATGAGCTGAATGCCTGTGTGTTCAGGAGCTCAAAAGAAACATCTGTGATTGGTCAGAATGGGCATCGATGCACTCGCCTCATTCTGCGTTAACACATGAGAGATATATTAACAGTGAAACTAGAATTCTGTAACTATTGGAAATATCATACTGGTCATTCTGACCGTTCTCATCTAAAACGCCATAGTGTCACAACATATTTACATTCAAAGCTTCCATTGAGATAATACAATTAAGCTTTGAATGTCTGGCATCATATTTAATGACACCATTACCCTAAAAATATTATCTTTTTTTGGTAATACAGCCTATAAATATGTAGTTAAGATACTAAAACACTTAAAGGTCTTGACTTTCATTTTCACTTTCAAACAGGAGCTATTTTGCGGCACAGAATATGCTGTCTTGAAAGATATCTATAGTAAATTGATGTTTTTGCCATCAGAAAGTTTTATTTTTGTTAGCAGGAAGTTGCTAGGCAAAAAAAATTTACACATGTTTAAAGTCACAGCGAAAAGTATCAGACATGCACGCAGTCATTTTGATGAATATGGTAATTAAAAGTAGAAATGCTCAGTTCTTTACTGTTTTGTAATTTAAAAAAATAACAACGTCAGAAAGAAATACACTGATAGTTAGAAAATGGCAGGGTGTTATATATATGTTAGTTTTATTTCAAAGAGTTATAAAATTACAAAAATTAAAAACTCTCTGTGTCTCTATCCACTCGAACCTTGCAGATGAGTGATTAATCCGCTGATGTATCAGCTGATTTAAAGATGTTTTTAATTGCTTCCTTGAAAGCTTGAAACGCTGTCAGTCATGTCAGCACACAAGCAGCCTTTTTCTGACGACTCCTCCCACAAAATTTCATTGGCTGTGGTTTGGTAGCTTGAATGAGCTGCTGGGGAACGAGTTGTTGTCAGATCATGTAGTGTGTGACCCCCCTCTTGTGGATCATTCACGTAGTGTCACCTAGTGTGAACACCACAGTGATTAAAAGACACAAAGTCAAGTTATGTAGTGTGAACGGCACAGCGTTCTTTCCATTGTCCATGCGTTATTAAATTCCATAACACTCTCACCAGTCCTTACATCTTATTTGCGTCTAATACCCCAGTTTGTCACAGGAACATGAATGAAATGTTCATGAGTTAAAGTGAAACTGCCGAACTGCAGTTAAAGTCAGGCATCCTGCTGATTTGATTCAGAAGGGCACTTTTTTGTCAGACAGCTCACCGGTCAGATATACATCCGCGCTAAAATATCAGGGTGAAAGTCATCATAGCTTGCACAGAATAGACCCTGCTCCCAAGAGAGGGGTCTGGATGCAGACTTGGTGCAGTGCAATCTGAGCTGCATACAATGCTTTTTAATGGACTCACCTAAGCCTACCCCTCACACCGATGTCACTTGCTCCATTTAAGTGCATTTTGTCTGACATTGCATCGCTGAGTGATGCAATCTCAGCTTGCATCATAAAGGCTGCATCCAGATACTAATGGCTCCCAACCTAACTTTGAGAATAGAATAACGGCGATATTTTTATATTGCGCGATAAGAGTCTTGCGTTAACGCAGCACGTTACGCTGATAATAGCGCACCTATAGTATTTTTACATTCTGGGTAAGGCATAAGACTAAAAAATGCTTGTCCAATTCACCATCGAGGACCACTGTACAACCGTTGCTTGAGAAACTTTATTACGAGTTGTTTGAGAAGTTGGTGATTGTTATGGAGATTGAGAAGAGAAGTATGGATGGTCGTTGACCTGGCTAATCAGGGAGTCTTGTCCGGGGAGACTCAGAGTGGGGGCTTTGTCTCGTAGGTTAAAGTGGAACCTTTAGAAGACCCCCCGATGCAGCCTGTGGAATAGGAGAGGGATGTTAAAGGCTGATTTATACTTCCGCGTCAAACACCGGCGTATGGTAAGGCACTGACGCATAGCCCTTCGCCTTGGCCGTCGGCGTCGCTGACGTGCATCTCTCAAAAAATGTAACTACATGTCGCAACGACGCGAGCTCTGTGATTGGTCGGCTTGGTATCGCTGACGAGTCTGGGCGGGCCCGAGAGCCACGTGAATGGCGCGAGCCTGATGGAGCAATTGTTTACAAGTGTGGAGTCCCGTGAAGGAGCTCCGGATGGAAAGTTTTGTTTTGTGTTTACCTCATAGTTAAAGTTGTTGCACGTCCGCCGGTTCCTGCCTCAAAATGAGCGAGTTTGAGCCACTTGTACATCCCGGAAGTGTTCAGGAAAACAAAACAGCAGCGAAGAAACTCGACACAGAGAAACATTTACACCTCACTGCCAACTAGCGTTTCGGAAGTGTTAATGCAGACCAACAGAGACAGAGCGCAGAAGTATATATGCACAGCTACGGGCGTTGCATGAGCCGTGGGTTACGCTGGTCACTTGACGCAAAAGTATAAACCAGGCTTAGGTGTATAGGGAGGGGAGGGAGGGGCTGTAGGGGATGAGTGGTTGAGTTTAGAGGGGAATTGGGTGGGAGGGAGTGAGAATCTGAGACAAACAGTTTAGGGAGGGTCCACTTCCTCTAAATAGTAGATGAGGGAAGTTGATTGGTTTAGGCATGGCCCCGCTACTGAACTTTTGTTGATTCATTAACTCCGTTTAAAAATCGTCAGGCTGACAAATAACTCAATTACAGCAGGTAATTCAAACTGTTTATCAACAAATTCAGATTTATATTTTTTCAAGCAGACAGATCTGTCATTTGTGCGTGGATCTACAGCTGACAAAGAATGACATCAGGCAAACTCTGCATCAACCTGAACTTCTTTCTGAAAGACCAAGGTGGCCTTGTGTCCATTAAAAGAAAGATTGTTTTTGAAAGGGCTTCTGCCAAAAATGCAGAATCAAAACTTTTTCTAAATCCTGAATCAATATCGGGGTTACTTTTGCATGCTGGAGGGAAATGACTTTATGCAGTTCAAAACCACGATCAGAAGGGGGACACCATGGCTAAAGTATTAGACTGTGTTCGTGTTTATGAATGGGTTTATATGCACACAAGTTTTTTTCAGCCACTGAAAACGTCTGGCGAAAGATTGGCTATTTTCAAGTTCATGGTTATCTTTTACAGCAGTCTGTTAAATAGACACAAGTATTTATTTAGTTGTTCAGGTGTAAGATAAAATGGATGTACGAGGATCAGCGAGCACAATTGAAAATGAAAAGTCACTCGTTGTCTTGGTAAAATAAGGATTATGTAAAAAGAAGGCAGGATATTTCTGTTTTTATCACTCCTGTTTTCTGATCTGACTTTTATTTAGTTGATTAACAAAATACAAGTAAATGTGCTCTTCCACCTAACCAGCTTTACTGAGGTGAAGTTTGATTTATATTCGCACTTTCGTTCAGTTTTGAATAGTGATAGCCTGTGACATGCTTTGAATTTTACATCTGAAATAGCACGTAGGAATGACTTCAAGACAACATTAGCACTATTTAATTGACTGTAAACAATGTTGTATTTTATAGTCATTATCACCAGGTCTTCATCTATTTGGTGTGCGTTCATGACTTGAGTAGGCATGGCTTTGGACTGCAGGGAAGGGACGTAAATTTTCAAAATTAAGCTAACGTTAGCATTCTGACAGGTTACCTACTGCACCTTTAATTGTTCCCCAAATTTAAGTGAACATAAAACAATTATGTTGTCCCAAAACAAAACTTAATAATTGTGTTGGTTCAACTCAAATTAAATAAGTAGTTTGAACAAGCAGCATAAGTATTTTTAGTGTACATGAACAGTACTGATTCTTTGTGTTTTCATCTGTAATTAAGAATACCATAACACTACGGTTTGCATTTTGATCTGTAAACCCTCACTTCAAAATCAATCATTATCAACCACATTTATCTGATTTTTTTTTTCGTGGCACTTTTATCCTGATCAATGAGCAGCGGTCCCTCCATATGCAAACATTATAAACAATATTACTTTTGCAGTATTTTGGTAATCGTTTTGCTATTTTGTCATCAAGTCACTACACAATGTAATCACATTAAATGTTACCTCTTTTAAACCCTAGAGCCAAACTTGAGTCGTAACAATAGGGATATAGTTTTCAACTGTTTTCCTGGCTAAAATATATTTTGTTAATGTGAGTAATGCAATATTTCACCCTGTATACATTTTGCTCAAAATGTACTTCAGTGTCAATTAAATAAATGTCCTAGCACAAAACAGAATGTGGATTGCGGTATAAAGTAACCGTAACAATAAATGTTATTTACAAGAAATGCATTTGGAAATTATTTAGATTTACAGAAACACTTATGTTCAGCTAAACAAATATACCAGTGATGATTTTAATCCAATACAGCACTGAAAAGGTTTGTATGTGTGTGCATTTTTAAATGTAAAATTCATTCATTGCTAGGGCTTTATTTTGATCCAGGTGCAAAGCGCAGGGCGCAAAAGCATTAAGGGCATGTCAGAATCCACTTTTACCATTTTAAGGACGGAAAAATCCACTTTGCGCCGTGGTGCAGTGGAGTTATAGGTGTGTTTTGAAAATAAACCAATCAGTCTCATCTCCCATTCTCTTTAAGAACCAGTTGCGTCTTACCATAGCACATTTGCTATTTACATAATTAGTTCCATTTATTAAGTGTAAAGATTTGTTTCAAAACTATTTCTAAATTCAGTTCTAATTGCCAGCAAACGAATAGATAAACAGTAATAACAAAGTGTGCTCAAAAAATATCCAAATACACATGCTATGCCCATATAATCTAAAACCTGACAGGTGGACAAATCTAAGCTTGTTTTTAATAAAAAAAAAGTATATTAATATGCATATAATAAATAAAACTACTGTTACGATCACCAGCGATCTAACTACCAGAGGTCGCTGGTAAACACTCACACACACATAGGACTACATCTAAATGGACTACATATTCAGTCATGCCAAACACACAAACACACACACCTGCTCCAAGTCTCCACTGATGACTCCCACAGCTGATGCTGCTTCTAGACTGATTACTGTACTACATAAACAGCACAGAAACACTCACTGTGGCTGAGTCTTGTTATCTGCTCTGCGCTGGACTTTAGACCACCTCTAAGCTGGTCTATTGAACAGTGTATTTTAGTTCCTCAAAATAGCAACGCGCCAGCAATGTGCCATAACACACCTCCTTTTTTTTTTAGACCAGAACACATATGGGTGCATATGCATTTGCTATTTAAACAGCGTGGTGCGAAATGTCAAAACGACTCTAAGCTCCAAGCTCAAACTAGTAAACAATAATTGCGACACGCATTGCGCCGCATTGCGTTAGGTGTATGATAGGGCCCCTAATGTTACACATTAATCTATTTTCTACAGAAAATCATTAGGAAATTATCATTTTTAAAAATGGCCAAAATATTCTTTGTAGAAAATGTACGAATTTTTCAAAAATTCTACTTTTTTCAAGTCCTGAAATAAATCAAAAGGCAGAAAGGACTGGACTCACTGGGTGGGGGTATGTAGCATATCGCTCCTGATAACCTCATGTCACATTCATTGTCTCTCCAGCGTCCATTAGTATCCATAGACACGCAGCCTCCATCTCCCACCGGCCCTTCAGGGTAATAATTTGAATCTTCCCAATGAGTAAACCATCCCTCACTTCCATCAGACCACTGGTGGGATATGCCATCCTATGAAAGTAGAGAGCGCTCTTCTTTAATGAATATATTGTATAATAATTTACAACATGTTATATAAAATATTGATATATTTAGACATATACATACATATATTATATAAACATTGTATTCATAACTTATTTTCATAATCATTATGAGTATTAATGATCATATACATTTTTTTATATAAAACAATTAAAATTTTGTATTTTTAATTATTTGATGACTAAACATATTTTCATTAGCAATGCATTATTCTTATAACTTAGTACATACAAGTGTATTATCAAAAATTATTTATATAAAATATAATATATAATAATATACAAAATGTTACACATATAATTTATACATAACCTAGTATTTTTAACATAATCACTTTTTATTATTAATTATCATATAAATTATGTATATAAAACAATATAAATATTGTATTATAAATGACAAAATGTGATACATTCTTTGAAGATTAAACATAAAATGTGATATAAATATTTAATATATTTACACATATCGTTTTAGTCTTAACTTATTGTAACAATCATTATTACTATTAACTATAATATAAATTATGTATATAAAACTATTAAAATATTGTATTATAATTTACAAAATGTGATAAATAATTTGATGACTAAACGTATAATTTTTTTAACCATGCAATATTTTTTATATTGTTACATATAAGTATATTACCGTAAATATTTAGACATTTACACACAGTTTTATGCAAAATTTAAATTTATTAATACAAAACGTTTTCCCCAATTTCTGTACAGAGAGCAGATTTTTTTCAACATAGTTCTAAACATAATAGTTTTAATAACTCATTTCTAATAATTGATTTATTTTACCTTTTTCATGATGACAGTAAATATTATTAGGCTAGATATTTTTCAAGACACCTTGCAGCTTAAAGTGGTATTTAAAGGCTTAACTAGGTTAATTAGGTTAACTAGGCAGGTTAAGGAAATTAGGCAAGATGTTGTATAACGATGGTTTGTTCTGTAGACTGTCGAAAATAAAGTTAGCTTAAAGGGGCTAATAATTTTGATGTCCAAATGGTTCTTAAAAAAATTAAAACTGCTTTTATTCTAGCCGAAATAAAACAAATCAGACTTTCTCCAAAAGAATAATATTATCAGACATACTGTGAAAATGTCCTTGCTCTGTTAAACATCATTTGGGAAATATTTAAAAAAGGTAAAAAGGGGGGCTAATAATTCTGACTTCAAATATATATTACCAATACACCTGTAAAACACATGAACTTCCCTGTGTCCTTACGTCTGTGCTGTATAAGCCGATCCAATGCGGGGCGTCCAGTCTGTTGATCAGAAAGGTCAGATAAGCTTGCTGAAATGGGTCTGTGATGCTCACGAGTGTTGCCCCCTTCACCAAACACCTTTCCTGGGCCTCGTACCAGCTCATGTTGCCATGGGCGACCAGATAAGTGTGGTTCCTGAACTCAGATGTGCCCAGAGAGGATGCAGTGTGATAGGAGTGAGTGGGACGCTTGGTGGTGTCTGAAATAATGAAGATAATGGAGCAAATAAATAAAACCATGATAATTAGTTCCACATTATGGACAAGGAGCAATAAAATAAAATGCATTTTTTTCATAATATTTTTTAAAATTGTGAACAAAAACTTTTACTGTAAAATCAATTATTTAAAATGCCATGTGTGAATTTGTCTGGTCACTTGTCTCAAATACATAACTATTTTTTAATATAGCATAATTTTTTTTAAATAAAAATTTAATAAAATAAATGAATATGATAAACATTATCTGAGATAGATACATTTCTAACGTCAATAAACATATTTGCATATTATATATACATGTATGTGTATCACTATATGTACACTAGATTGTGAGTGTGTGTATGTGTGTGTGTGTGTATATAGTTTAAGTCAGATTTAATAGCCCCTCTGAATTATTAGCCCCGCTATTTATTTATATATATATTTTTAAGAGAGCAAGGAAATTTTCACAGTATGTCTGATAATATTTTTTGTTCTGGAAAAGGTCTTATTTGTTTTATTTCGGCTACAATAAAAGCAGTTATTAATATTTTTAAAAACATTTTTGGGACAAAATTATTAGCCCCTTTAAGCTAATTATTTTTTTCGATAATCTACAGAACAAACCTTCGTTATACAATAACTTGCCTAATTACCCTAACCTACCTAGTTAACCTTATTAATCTAGTTAAGCCTTTAAATATAACTTTAAGTTGTATAGAAGTGTCTTGAAAAATATCAAGTAAAATATTATTTACTGTCATCATGAAAAAGATATCATAAATCAGTTATAAGAAATAAGTTTCCCTCCATGAAACAGAAATTGGGTTAAAAAATAAACAGGGGTGCTAATAATTCAGGGGGGCTAATAATTCTGACTTCAGCTGTATATGTATATTTTTCTTGTCGGCTTAGTCCCTTTATTAATCTGGGGTCGCCACAGCGGAATGAACCGCCAACTTATCCAGCAAGTTTTTACGCAGCTGATGCCCTTCCAGCCGCAACCCATCTCTGGGAAACATTCACACACACACACACACACACACACACACACACACACACACTCATACACTACGGAAAATTTAGCCTACCCAATTCACCTGTACCTGTTTTATCTGGTATAACATACAGTATGTATGTGTATTATAAATATTTAATATTTTTATGTGATACACACACAAAGATAGAAACAAAACTTTACAAAACTATTTTGTTGCATTGATGTTTAAATGTATATATATTTTGTATCATATACTGTACATACAGAGCTTGACATTAATCATATTTCTCTCTAACACCAAACTAATTATTTCCCTGCCAAAAAAAAAAAAAAAAATATATATATATATATATATATATATATATATATATATATATATATATATATATATATATATATATATATATATATATATATATATATATATATATATATATATATATATATATATATATATATATATATATATATATATATATATATATATATATATATATATATATATATATATTGTCAAAACAAGCATAATATAGAAAAATTCAGACTTTTTTTTCAACAAAAATGTTCTTAAAAAACAATTGAGTTTATTATTTTCATGTTCCTAAAACTATACACTGCACTGGCTAAAGGTCCCACATCACCAGTTAACTCTACATAAATGGAGAGTTAATCACCTATTAAAGCAATGTTACTGTAAAGGATGATAATTAAGCCATATTAATAAAAATAACTAAGCAAAGGAAAACTTGAAAAACATTCCGTGTGTGATAATGAAACGATGATCACGGTTAACATTTAGATTATTTGTTCAAAGAATGTTTAAAGTGAAATCGGCAACCGCTGTCTTTAAAAAATCTCTAATTTATACACAAGTATTTATGTGTGTAAAGCATCTGTTTTGTGAGAAGTGCTTTTCATATGATATGTGAACGACCTGTGCAGCTTTATTGTAGACATTTTCTCGAGCGAAAATGACGTCGACTGAAACTTTGTCATACACCACGCCCACCAAAAGGGTACCCTTGGTAGTGGAAACGCAAGCCTGATAAAGGTGACCCGTACCGACCCAAACCGTACCGTACTGTATCAGTCAGTGGAAACGAGCCATTAAGCTCTTTTTTCCAGTCTATTTAAAAGAGAACCGATCATACCTGTGCGTATTCAGGCACGGTTGCTTCACGCAAGGACACTTAAGCCCTCTTCAGTAAGCAAGGATCGCCTGTCTCACCATGCGCCTGATCATCCTTTCATTCTGTATTCACCTGCTTCCTTTTGCTCACCCAAACACTTATCAGTTTCACTGCTTTTTGATTCTAGGATCACATTTGCATGCATATTGACAAACGGTCTTAAAGGGCACTTATGGTGAAAAATCTACTTTTTAAGCTATTTGGACAAACATATATGTATATATAGTGTATAGACCATCATATTGGGGTGATATAAACACACCCAGTCCTTTTTTTTCCAATTTAACAACATAAAAACGGTGGATCAATTGGAGCGTTTTTCAGACCGATCGCAACTTTACGGAGTAGTGATGGGTCGTTCATGAACGATTCGTTCATTTTGAATACGGGTTAATACACACCAAATCTATCATGTAAAAACAAACTTTTATTTTGGATGCGATTAATCTTTTCCCAGCACTAATAAACTGTATTTATGTTTATTAATTAAATAATTTATTTTTTATTTTACTTTCCTACAATAATTTGACCTACCTTGCGCTTTCTCGCAGACAAAGCCATATATCTTTTCAGTACAGACGTCATCTTGCCAAATCCCTGTCAAGCGGAAGTTGTGGCTGTTGGACAGGAAAGTGCAATGAGGTACTTCAGGAGATCTATAATTAATCCTCTGTAGACACAGATACAGAAAAACAGTTTTGAAATTGTTTGTTGAAATCCAGTGATATTTCTAATATACTAAATCCTACAGATGCATCAGTCGAAATCTTTTTTTCTCTACAAAAACACAACAGGCAACCGGACGACTGTCTTGTTTAAAATCGGGTGATCTCTGCTCTAGAATATAAACTGCAAGCATTTTTTCTGTACAAAGTGTTTAGTATAGTGTGCAGAGAAGCTAAATATGCAGCACAGATGTACACACAAGTTCAGATGATACAGCAATACATGACATATTCTGCACAACTTCAACAAATTGAACAAATATTGACCTTTGTTCATTTCATATTGTACTTTTTCAATACTGTGATGTCTGTGGTTGCAGGCTTTACTAATGTAACTATTAATGGAAACAAAGTGTTTTTAGAGAAGCTAATGTGGTATTTCATTCTAGTATACCGAATATTGAACGCTTAAATAAATAACGCTTCGTCACTGCTGTTCTATTAACCTCCACACACAAGAAAGGAGGGATTCAGCATTTTTATTATTTATTTTAACTGTGCAATGCAGCATTAATATAATTTTTTTATATATATATATATATATATATATATATATGTAGAAATCAGACCATTTATCTTTTTATATATATAATTCATGAAGATATGACCCTGGCCTTGATCCCAAAACCAGTAACAAGTGTCGATTTAGAAATTGAGATTTATGCATTACCTGATATATCTATATCTATCTATCTATATATATATATATATATATATATATATATATATATATATATATATATATATATATATATATATATATATATATATATATATAGAGATTGCTTCGGTTCCAGCTTGAGGAATTCAGAAATCTCATGGCATTGAAAGAAAACTGGCAGCAGTTGAGTGCCGAGGTCAAAGGTCAGATGAGCAGGCATCACACCTGATAAACACCTGGGGCAACTGTACAGTAAAAAAAACAAAAAAACAACAAGATTAAGAAATATTGCTTTAATTTGAGAGAGACAAAAAAAACTCTTCCGTGTTAAAATTTGATGTTCCTCCAGCGTTCTTACGTCAGTCTTTAATGTCAGGTGATCCTTCAAATGTCAGTGTAAATTGTTGAGTGTACCATTAGTGCTCAGTCGTGTTTTTCATAGTTACCAGTGCCGATGGAGTTTTTTTTTTTAGAGCGTCATATTCTGCTGGAAAAGTTTCATTTTAATGGTAATATGCCATGAGCGGAGGTGTATGAGTAACTTCACAAGTTGACCATAGTCTAGAGCGATGACATGCTCATCTACTCCCAGAACCTGGCAGAACGAAATGTTGCAGCTCGTCCGGTCTTCAATGATGAGCCCAAAAGAGGCCTCTTCACAGAGCCGGCC